GGTCACTTGGGAATGCACAAAAGGAGCTAAGGGAAGAGAAGGTAGAGAGGGAGATGGCTTCTGTGAGCTGCTGTTGGCCTGGCTGCAGCATGATTAGGTCCTGATAGGTCCCTGGTTCACAGGTACCTGACTGGTCAGAGTTTTAATTTTGTGAATCAAAGCTGTGAGTTAATTTGAGCTGTGAGTAAGGCGAATGCATTTTCAAGTGTAGGAGCAGGAGATTAATGTTCTCTCTGTTAGGCTCTTGGTTGAGTGTTTGTATGTGAACTTCCCTGTCAGCCTCAGTGAGTTAATCCCACACCTCTCACCTGTGCTAAGCTCACTTTCCAGAGGTTGTGTCCTTGTGAACCCAGGAGTATGAGGTGCTGATTCTTGATGAACCCATGGGGTAAAGAAGGCATTTCTTTCATTGCCTTACTTCTGGTGTTTCCAAAATGGAAACTTTAAGCCACCCTGCAAATTGGTGCTTATGGAGTTCAGCAGTGCAGGGCAGGTTAGGTGGTCATTCAAAATTAGAGCCACAAAGTTATGGGTTAATATGTTAGAACATGGATTCAGCAGCTTAAGTATGTGCCATCCTCAGAGAATAGTGTTAGATGTGAAGGTTCTGAAAGTCTTCTCTGTGGAAGTTTGGCCTTACAACTCTGAAAGCCCCACCAAGACCCTTCTGTGCATCTGGCCCTTAATGTTCCCTCCCGGGCAGATGAGCAGCAAATTGTACACAAGGTCTGAAACAGATTCCTTCTTGTCCATCTGTTTCTTCAGATGGATTTTTGTGCTCTGCTATTGCTGCCTCTGTTACCTTGGATCAGGTGCTCTGGATAAGTTGATCATCCATGGAAGCCTTTTATGATAGGCCTGACAAAAATAGGTATAACCACTCTTCAGGACTTTTCTAGTGGATTTGCAGAGTGCAGGTGCTAGCTCTTGTGTTTGAATATCTTTGGTTCAAGTTTAGGGCTGTTTGTAAAGTTGTCATTCTCATGTGAGTTGTGAAATAGGTCTTTACAGAGTTCCTTTTGCACCTGCCTAAGAAGCTGATTCCCATTTTGGGGGTGACCCTAAGCCTGTCTCTGAACAGACCTCCATGGAGGGAGTCACTGTGCAGTTTGTTGTTGAACCACGTCGTGTGCTTTTGTAGCTGATGGGTGGGGGAGGAGTAAAGCTGGATGATTTTCACTGGAAAGGAGACAAAAATGTTTCCACTTAATTTGATTGGCCTGCCATTGCAGGAGCTGCTAATGATGTCTGCATGGGACTCGAGGGACCACTCAAACTGGTGGAGGGAATCATAAGAGATATTGCTAGTAACTTAATCATCTCCTTTGTTGGTGCAGTAGAGGTTGGTGCAGTGTCCACTGCTAGATGCTGTGTAGGAGCACTTCTAAGATAATTAGTGCCCTGTCCTGAAGGTGAATTTTTGCTTGGGGAGGGGAGTGAAAACTGAAATCCATTAGCTCTTCTCACAGGAGGTTTTGCTGGGCTAGACAGTAACATGATCTTTTAGGCATTATTACGGCTTAGCCTTGGTAGGGAGAACCCACTGTGAGAAAAGATGCTCAATCTCTTCTGCCTGTAAGGCAGCAGTGGTAGGCTGGCTCCACCTCTCTACACCTGTGGGAAGTCAGGGGCCAGTAGACTCTCAGCAGTAGAGGCTTTGTCAAGTGCAGTGTGGCTCCTCCTCTAGTGCACACAGCTTCTCACCTTGTATAGTCCCAAAAGATCCCATATTAGGAAAGGGAAGAGCAACTCCCTTAGCCAGCACAGCTCCTGAGTTAAGTCAGAGACCGTAACTGAGACCCCCAGCCCTTGCAGAGGGTCCCAGTTCTTGCTCACCTCTGTGTGCTACTTTTTCATTCATCTGCTGTCATGACTTAAACTCCCTGAGTGCCTGATGGTTTCGTGTAACCTGAAGGAGAACATGCACTTGCAGCAGGAGCAGTCTGTAGGGTAATATACATTGTTAAAAGTGAGGCCTCAGAGGTGCTGGAAGCCCTTTGATGGCCTAATAATAATTATTAATGCTAATAAAAATTAGTGAACTCCTCACCTTCTGGCAGAAGGTTGGAATAATAACTGTGGAGTCGTTGTTCAGTCAGAGATAAGAATGGGTCAGCCTTGCACAAAAACCTCCTTCCCTGAGTTCCATCATCTTCATGAATCCAGTCCTCCACTGGCTGCATTTTTATCTCCCTGAATTACGAGAGGGAACAGCTCTTTCTTTTTCTTCCTTTCTCCCATGCTCCTGCGACAGGAGCGAGGGGGAGAGGGATTAGTGAGCTAATTAGAAATGATCGCATCTATCAACACTAATTAACAATCCTATGGTCTCACTTGCGTGTTCTTTTGAGCCGCTCCCCTTCGGGACAGCACCACAATCAGCCCCTGCCTCTGGGGCCGCTCGGGCCCTGCTGCACTGATTGGAAGTGATGGCCAAGCTGCCTGTCGTGTCGGGCAGGGACAGCGCTGCTCCGATCTGCGTTCCAGGCTGCAGCATTCCCTTTCCAATCCCTCTGTCACCAGGAGCACCCTTGGCCTCCGTGGGCACAGTGCTGCCGCTGCTAATGACCACAGAATGAAAACGGCAGGGGGATTTGCTTTCAACACCTCTTTCTTCCACTGGCTTTTTCACTTGTGGCACTGGGACTTAAAGGGCTGCTGTGCTGTGGAGCTAAATGAGCCAAGATAGGGGCTGGGTCTTGTGCAGAGCTGGAGCAGAGTGAGGTTCTGTTCCCAGCTCTGCACTGACGTTTCAACAGCAGATCAGGTTCTTGTTCTGGCAAAATGGTCCCTGGAATTTATCAGTAGAAGACCTGAAACAAGTTGTCTTCCATTTGTCACTGCTACAGTGCATGGACTGGAGGATGGCAGTAAAAAAATGTGAAAAATAATAAAGAATTCGCCAAGCAGACTGACTTAGCTGAATTGTTTGGCCATGGAGAGTCTTACCAGAATGATTAAACTGCTCCCTCCCTAAGTTTGCCTGTTTAAAAACATGATATGAGAGATATTTGCATCTGTGATCAGGGTGGAGAAGGGTTTGTTCCTCTGTTTCTCTCTGGTCAGATGGGTGTTTGCTGGAGAATGCTCAAGTTGTGTCTGATTCCAGCCTCCTTCCCTATTTTGTGGTGGCTCTACAGAGCTAGTGAGGCAAGGAAAGAGCATCCTAAACTTACATGAAAGAGCCATGCACTACACTTACATGTGAGCATGCAGTAAACTAGAACTTCAGAAAGCTCTCATGTACATGGCTTAACTCTTGATTTCAAGAGAGGAATTTGTGGAGCTGTCATTGTGTGGTACCCAACACAGGAGAGGGTTGTGGAGCTTCAGCAAATAACATTTAGAGAAACGATGAAAGTGCTGTGTGTTAACTTGAGAGTCTTGTTCCGAGTGCCAGATATCAAAAACATTCCTGTTTTGATCTCAAATTGCTGTCTCTTATTCTAGGAATGTCATATTTTCAGAATCTTTTTCATGATGCCAAGAGTGAAGATTTATTTTTTTAGGGAGTATTCCCACCTGTCTGTCTCATTCAGTGAAGAAAAGCAATGCCCAGGGAATAATTTGACATTTTCTTGGTGCTGGAGCATCACAGAGTACAGGGAATGATAAATACTTCTGTTTCTGGATTGTGAGAAAATATATCCTAACCCAGAGAGTCCCGAGTCCAGGGAAGCCTACAAGAAAGCCTCGAAAGAGACCTTTCAGGCAGGTCTGTGTTGATGTGTTCAGCTGAAACTTTATAATTCACTTGGTCATGTGTGTGCTCTGAACTGATGCACTTTAGAAGATTGACAGAAACTTTCCTGTACACTGGTCCTTCTCATCCTGGCATTCCAACAGCTTTCTTTGAGTCATTGGCTGCAGGGAGCTGTTGATCCCACAATGTTCAGACATGAAGGCTTTCAGAGCATGCTGCAGTGCTCACAATGTCAGTAACGATTTCTGGCTAACGCAGCTTTCTGGTGGTGTCATCTCTCATTATCACATGGGCTTTCCTTGGGCTTTTCCTTGTCTCTCATTCAGAATTTTGACCTTCCTTAGTAATTAAACAGTGACTTTCCTTCAGCCAGTGATTGAGTTATTCAGTAATACCTGCCTAAAGCCATCATAATAAAAGACAGAAGTTCTTTTTAATGCAAATGATTTGGTTCCGGATGTTTTGATCACAGTAAATGATGGCTCAAATTAACCAGAGATTGGATTAAGCAACAGGCTACCTTGGCTGCTTCTTCTAATCATCGTGATTCCTAACATGTTTGTTTCCCAGAGCATGCCCTCAAGAAGGCAGTGTAGCCCCCAGTTTTCATGAAATAAAAGTACTAGAGAGCCAGGAGGTATCTAGCATGGGTGCTGTGTTTGTCACAGTAAATACCTTTCCTTTCCATAAATGTTACCTGCTACTAAGATGGTGCTCTTACTTGTTTGTGGTCTTTTGAGAAGGATTTTTTCAAGGTGTGCAGGAGGCTTAGTGGTTCTGGCGGTGACTGTTACGTACCTTGTGCAAGGCTTTCAGATGCTACATCATCCTTCTACGATCTAAGCAAGTTCTTGTCTAGGGAGTAGATGTACTAGTGGAAGGGCCTCAGTTTTCAAAGCCAAAATCCAAAACAAGGATTCAGTGGCTTAATCCCTCGATTTTGAAAGCAATTTGAGGCTTCCAACAGAAAGTGTTTAATTATTTGATAACTTAGTGGGGGATGTGCAGCAGATATTCCCTCTCCTAGTTGTTAACTTGGGGTTAGCTGCCTCTCTGAAACCAGGGAGCACTCAGCCATGGGTTACAGATTTGATCTGGAAAGTGCCAAGTAGCAGTCTCTGTACTGATTATAGAGTTCAGAACAGGGAGTTGCAACAGGATTTTCTGGTGTGAAATCTTACCATTTCTGCCAAGGGTTTGTTGTTTGGAGCTGAGCAAATAGTGGATCCACAAACTTGACATGTCTTCCTTTTTTTGTTTGTTTGTTTTCTTTCCCTGGTTTCTCCATGCAGCTCGGATTGGAAAAATGAAACGGAGGAAGCAAGACGAAGGGCAGGTATGTCCCCTCTGCAGCCGACCTCTGTCAGGATCCGAGGAGGAGATGAGTAGGCATGTGGAACAATGCCTTGCAAAGGTAGAGGCGCAGCAGGGTCACCAGCTGCCATTCCCTTCTCCCTACTTCCAGCTTTGTCTGCGGTTCACCTAATCTGGGGCAAAAACTAACATTACTGAGCTTGCAGGCAGTGCTGTCTCCCTAAGATCTGTAGTCACTTCTCTTTGTCTTGGAAGAGGGATTTTTCTGGATTTTTTCTGCTGTGTTGCATAAGTAACTTTTTTGCTTCGTTCAGCCTTTTGCTGTAAGTTGTAGATGGTAGAGGTGGAGCTATTGAAGTTTAAAGTCTTTTGTTGGACCTCAGGCTTCCTATGTAGCACAGCAGGAAGAGTTCTTTCTGATCTGTGCCTTTGACAACATTAGAATTATTATTTTTGGGTTCTTTTGTAACAGACTGGCATTTGTGAATGTTGCATGACCATCTTACTCCAGGAAGTGCATTTAAGCAGAACCGTTCTCATGCTGTTCATCCCAAAGACAGTGAGAAGCGATCCCTAGGAGAGAGTTCTGTCATGGAGCTTTCTGTGCTTATTTCTCAGGAAAAGCCCTCGGTAGAGATGATAGCAAGTTCATTCTTGTTGCCTCAAGAGGTGCATAATGTAAAGAGAGGTATCTTTTGATCAGTGTGCCCCAGAAACATACTATAGGAGAGCATTGCTGCTGCGGGTCAAAGGAATCTGTGGTTTACATGATAGAGGAATTGCACATGCAAGGCAGGGGAGTGCATGTTGAAATGAGTGGTAGGAGCCAGAAGTTAAATTTCCATGTGTAAAAATTATGCACTTTGCAACTTGTTTTGATCTTAGGGTTGTCAAGTTCTTCCAGCATGTATTCACTTCCAGATTTAGGTCACTGGGAATGGGGATGGGAGTAGATGCCGCTGTCCACTCTATATATACGTAGCTCTCCTGGGCACAGCCCAGCTTCTCCTCTCCATCCCACCATGAGTTATTAACCCCAAAGAGCTATTTCGTGCATCTCAACACTGCCTCTGCTTTACCCTGTGCAGAGAGAAGGTTCATGCATGACTGAGGATGACTCTGTGGACATTGAGAACGAGAATGGCAACCGCTTTGAAGAATACGAGTGGTGTGGGCAGAAGAGGATACGTGCTACTGCCCTCCTGGAAGGAGGATTTCGAGGTGCGACAGTGTTTTGGGGTCACTTGTAAATCATTCTGCTGTGGAAGTTGATCATTACCTATCTTTAAAGGGAGGGACGTGGGGATTTGCCTTTTCCAAAGGGCAGAACCATCAGCTTTTGCCAGAATGTAAAGTGCTTTCAGTTTTCTGTCTCTCTTGAATGATGAGAATCAAAATTTGTGCAGATCTTGAACAAAAGTGTGGTGTTATTTCTTGCTCAGGAAATGTGGCTGAAGAGGGAATGAGTCGGAATGGGTAGGTCATTTGGGGAAAATAGCTTTTTATATCTTGCACATAGTAAGAAATACATGGAAATATGTGAAGAGAGGGAAATAGAAATGAAATTGTAAAAATTCCCAGCCTGGAGTGACGAAAGCTGGTGTATCAGCCTCCAGTGATGTATTGGAGGTGACAGCTGAGTCGCTTTAGCACCTGCATAAAATATTAAAGGGCCAGTTGTGCATTTATCACTCCATCCCTTTTAAGGTTGATAAATGAGAATCCAGGAACCTGCTCTGCACCTGCAGCACTGCAAGCCCTTAAGGCTCCCAGACAAACACATTTTATTTTTCCTCCTTCTTTTGCTCCTTCCCCAGTGACGGGGAAATCAGTTACTGAGGAGAGAGTGAGTTATGGCAAAATTTGACCTCTCGTGAGCTTTATTGGTGAATGTAATTTTAGCTAGAAACCTAGCCCCTTTCTTACATTCAGCCCTTTGGCCTCGAAGAGGAGGATTTACTAAACTGTTCGTTGGCATGAACCTCTGGCACTAAGGAGAGTCTCTTGCAAGCAATCCATGTAGTGCATACCTAATGAGAGGAGGAATGCTGGCTCGTTCCCTTCGTTCAATAAAGAGGATGGGATGTGGTCTCTTCCTGTATCAGCTTGGATTTTAATTTAAAGTATCTCAGGGGGAAAGGCTACTGCATAAGGGAGTTGGACTTAGAAGCCATCCATGTGCTCAGCGGCAGCCAGGCACTCCTGATCTGCTCTTGCCTTCTTCTGAAATTGGATTGTAGCTGGGTTGTAGCAGAGCAGATGATCAGGAGCAGAGGTGGAGCAGCTTCTTCAGGTTTTAAAGGACACCCAGTGAAGCTCAAGCTGTTGTTTCCTGTGTCTGTAGCCTAACTTTTTTGGGACTGCTTGGCGAGTTGTGGCTGTACAAGATTCCAGGTAGAGGCCTGATGAGACCATGCAGGGTCTTACACGTTTATGTAGTATAGATGCTACAGTCCGTGGTGGGGAAGCATGGAATGTCTATCTGCCTCTTTTGTTGTCACTGCTACTCCTGATCAGTAAAAGTTCATCTCTGCCTTTTTTCATGCATGCATAGTTTCTTCCTTCACCCCCACTGAACACCTGAGTTTGAGGAGAGCATGATCTTCCACTTCCTTTGGTGTGGACATCATGCTGTCTTCACCTGGTTAACATTCCCCGTTGGTTTTGAGTTAACTTACTGAAGTGTGATCTGTACCATCCATACGCTTCAGTCATATAGGCACCCTCTTCCAGATGAGGCTTCAGATAGACAGATGTGGGTAAGCTGTCTAATTGTAAAGTACTTGCTCCTTGTTGCATTTTCTTCGTTATTTTAAGGAATTCTCAAATGCCTTAGTTTGTGTTACGTAGATCACCTGCTTTCCTCCACCAGAAGTTAGACAGGCTCTAGCATCGGTCAGTGCTGTAACCTCTGCCAGATGGCTACACATGCATGGACAGATACTTCTGTAGTTCATACTTAGGATGGCCTTACTTCCATCAGAAGATGTGGGGTCTGTCTCTTCTTTCCTTTTTGAGACCTTCAGGACACCTTCAAGAATAACACGAACAGATCTCAGCAAAAGATTGAAAGACCAGGAGAAAAGTGAAGCGCAACTACATGCAGTTCTAAAACCCTCCATAATTACCTTGATGAGAAGGCTTTTGGGCTATACTCCTTCCCTTGGTGTGGTGCTAGATGAAAGGTGTCTGTAGATCAGCTTGCAAGCACAGGAACCTTCCTGTCACATGTATGGTGAGGAACATCCTCCCTGTGCAGCGGCTTGTGGCAGAGCCACTGCTGAAAAAGTTGCTCCACCTGAGTGGCTGGCAGGTCCCTAGTACCTAGCCTTCCTTCTCTGGAGCACACCTCTGCTGGCAGCTGGGTTCAACAGCTGCCATGCTTCTCTAGAGAAATGTCCTCTTCCCTGGACAGTGGATCTTTTTGCCACCAACTTTTACCTAATGTTTTGGTATAACCATCTGCAGGGTGCCTACCTACCCTGCACAAGAAATTGCTGTAAAATTTGGAATGCCAAAGCAGAGCTGGAGCGATCCCATAGCTGGCTGATTGTATTTATTTTTAATCAAGTTACACTTTTTTCATGCTCTCTTTTGTGGCTCTCATATTGTGTGTGCTGGCATTCAGAGGTCTCCATCAGTCAGACCTTCTGTGTACACTCTCAGGTAGCCTTAATGTGACTGTCTTTCTTCTTTCTCTGCCAGTGTTGGCTCTTGCCTTATTTTAGGGACAGAATTCTTAATTTACAGCCCTGAAGCACAGCACAACGTTTTGTAGATGCTTTCTAATACTTAAAACTGCTTTGTCTGGAGTTGGCAAGGCCCTTGTTAACCCCCGTCACCCGAGGCTTTGCATTTGGCTGTGTTCCCTTTGCTGAGAAGTAGCAGTGATGTGGAAATCAAAGGTCTTTTATAATGCCAGACAGCCTTTGCCAGGCTACAGGGATGTCACCGTTGTCTAAAGAGATGACATGGGGAAATACATAAAACCGGAGGGGAAAATAGATGGCCATGTGTCTCATTAATTTTAGTTTTAATGGTGTGTTGCTTTGAGGAGATGTCACAGCTGGGCAAGGGGGAGCAGGACACGGTGGCCAGCGCGTATTGCACGAGTCAGTAGGTCCGTTGGGCAGCCTTACAGCAGCCACTCAAACTTAACACAGGTCCTGGCTTGTTCTTTTTATCATGATCAAAGTTCATATCACTCTCAACATGAGGAAGACTCTTTACCCATTATATGAAAGATCCTGACAGATTCCCAGCTGGAGTGAGATTGGGAGATCTTGGGATTTTTCTTCTTAAAAACAGAAAGGTCAGGGAAATGAACAGCGCTGGATTTTCTGGAAGATGGTCTAATACTTAAGAGCAGTCACAGGCTGAAACTCGCACTTGTGTGTTTCCTAGAGTGATGCTTTGCTGCTTCCAAAGCACTTGCAGGGAAGACTTGCTCCTCTAATGTAAGGGTCTGTCTTAGGAGAGAAAGAATTTCCAGTTTCTATGTTGGTGTTACAGCAGCAAACCCCCAGTCAGGTGTAGTGCAGCAGAGCCAAAGCACACCTCCTTGCCTGCCACAGCTTGGCATACCTGAGGCAGCTTGTGGAAAGAACAGACAGTGGTAGCGAGTAGGAATAGGTCATAACTGAGAAGTACAGGGGTCAGTATGTTGTCTCTGAGGGTGTTGGGTTTGGTTGAAGGTATTCAGTCAGGAAATACTTGGTACTTCTAGCTGTCCTCCTGGCTTCTTAAAGCATCATTTGCTGTCATTTAATTTGCTTACCAAACCTGGAAGAATGCAGGTTGTAAATTAAAATTATTGGCAATTATGTAGGGTTTGGAGCCACTTTGTTTCAGTAGAGGTCTTGCTTGAAGTAGGTGTTTGTAGGAGAGTTCTTGGTTCCGGTTGGGGTAGGTGCAGAACAATACCAGCATGAAATACCAAGCTCTGTTTAAATCAAGCTCATGCTTCAAAGTGAAAAACTGTATAGATATAATAATCAAACATTTCCCTGTCTCAGTACAGTGTCACAAGACAAATTTCTCCTGAAATACCTGAACATTCAGTAACTATCTCTCCCCACGTCTCTGAATCATCCCTCTCCGAAGCTCTTTGTTGCAGGGGATTATTTCATGCCATCTTTAATGAGTTTCTGTGTTTAGGAAGGCAACAAGGCTTCACAAGTGAAAGCATCAAGTGGCTTCCTCTCTGATGTTTTTTTTTTATGCTCAACATATTTGTAGCAATTCTTCTGTTCCTCTCCAGAATGGATGCACGTTACCCTCAGTGTTTACACTGTAAGGTTATCCCTTTAAAGAATTCCTAAGGGAAGTTCAAAAGGGGTTTTTTTTCTTTGAAAGATTCAGTGTCTCTTTTTGTGTGTATGTCTCTTACTTGAAAGAAGGGAAAGAAGGGGGGGAAGTGGAAAAAAAGTGCTTTATCTGAAAAGAATCACATCAGCTTCACACTGATAGAAGCTGCTGTCATCTCTTAAACGGCTTAGCACAGTCAAAAGGCAAGAGGACTTAAAACAGTGTCTTACACAGGGATCGATGGGTGGAACACATAACTCGTAACTGCAAAAAAAAAAGCAGCACGGGGGGAGAGATAACGGTAATGATTGCATTGAGGGAAGCTTGAGGGAGGCTTGTTCTTTGTAACACAGCTTCAAAGGTGTCTGGACTGGTGCCTAAGCAAACTGTCCTGTTAAGTCACTGCTTCTGTAGGTCTGGGGAGGGAGGGGTGATGCTTGCACCCTTCTGTTTCCTAACAGATGGGACAAAGATTAGTAAATGCCAAGTTCGAGGCTTCCTTCTGCCACCTCAGATTTGGGAAGAGGATTTTGTTCCTTGGACTCTGGCTGTCCATTCTGGGAAGGCAGCTTGTCCAGGAGAGGGGAAGGAGGGGAGCGGCGGCTGGGGAGATGGGCTGGGGGGTGGGATGTCAGTTTATCGATCGCACCTCAGTCAGGAGAGCTGCAGGCGCAGTGCTCTGAGCACGAGCGGCAGCGTGCTTAATGTGATTGAAAGGCAGTTAAAATGGCGGTGACCTTTTCAGGGGGAATTAGATTGCCTGCCAAGAGTGGTTAGAGGGAGTGATAACGCCAGCTTGAGGAAGCTGTCCAGTCTGCTTCAAAGGGAGAGAGACAGGGAAAGCAAGCTGGCAGCAAGTACCATTTAAAGCACGAACCGCGCGGTCTGATAGAACAGAGATTGCTGTCCTCTTT